GGGATGGTGTGTGTCAGGGGATGGGGTGTGTCAGGGGATGGGATGTGTGTCAGGGGATGGGTGTGTCAGGGATGGGTGTGTCGGGGATGGGTGTGTCAGGGATGGGTGTGTCAGGGATGGGTGTGTCAGGGATGGTGTGTCAGGGATGGGTGTGTCAGGGATGGGTGTGTCAGGGTTCCGGGTGTCACTTAAAGTCATTTTATATGGTAATCATGTGGTATTTATCATCGCAATGCACCTGCCTTGCTCCACTGGGGGGACCTGAGACTCATTGTCCCTCGACACACTTGATCCGTCCCAAGGCCAAGAGCTTCCTTCCCCCTCCTCCTCCCCCCTCTTCCCTCCCCCTCCTCCTCCCCCTCCCCTTCCTCCTCCTCCTCCTCCTCCCCCTCCTCCTCCCCCTCTTCCCTCCTCCTCCCCCCTCCTCCTCCTCTCTCCTCCCCTCCCCCTCCTCCTCCTCCTCCTCTCCTCCCTCCTCCTCCTCCTCCTCCTCCTCCTCCTCCCCCTCCTCCCTCCTCCTCCCTCCTCCTCCTCCTCCCTCCTCCTCCCCCCTCCTCCCCCTCCTCCCTCCTCCCCCCCTCCCCTCCCCCCTGCTTTCTCTTCCTCTCTTTGACTCAAAGAAGTCGCAGCACTCCTTCCCTTGGCTGGTGTTAAACATCTCTCCACTGACCCTCCGCTGGTGTCCACACGTGTGCGTGCGTGTGTGCGTGTGCATGTGTGTTGTGCGCGCGTGTGCGTGCATGTGCGTGTGTGTGTGCATGTGCGTGTGCGTGTGCATGTGTGTGTGCGCACGTGCGTGCATGTGCGCGTGTGCGTGCATGTGCATGTGTGTGTGCATGTGTGCGCGTGCACGCCCAGCACGGGGCTCTCCTGCGTGCGTGTGTGCATGTGCATGTGTGCGTGCATGTGCGTGTGTGCGTGCCTCTGCAGCCCTCCTGCGTGTGTGCGTGCATGTGCGTGTGTGCGTGCCTCTGCAGCCCTCCTGCGTGTGTGCGTGCATGTGCGTGCGTGTGTGCATGTGCGTGTGTGTGTGTGCATGTGTGCGCGTGCACGCCCAGCACGGGGCTCTCCTGCGTGCATGTGTGCATGTGCGTGCGTGTGTGCATGTGCGTGCGTGTGTGCATGTGCGTGTGTGCGTGCCTCTGCAGCCCTCCTGCGTGCGTGTGTGCATGTGCGTGCGTGTGTGCATGTGCGTGTGTGCGTGCCTCTGCAGCCCTCCTGCGTGCGTGTGTGCATGGACTCACGGAGGCGTCCGTGCAAAGTGCTCCCCTGTGTCAACAGTGTGCTGTTCCTCCCCCCCCCCACCCTCCCACCACCCCCCACCCCCCCCCCCCTGGTTTAGAAGGTTCTGGGCTTTGTTTGATGAAGGCTGTGCTCGCAAAGACTGGAAAAGCAAGCTAGACTCCAGTTGCACTGAATCAGACCAATCCTAACTCCTTCCACCAAGGACTTTGGGGGAGGGGGTGTGTGGGATGTGTGTAAGACAGACAGACAGACAGACAGTGTCCCTGGGGCCTGAACTCAGGGCCTGGGTGCCGTCCCTGAGCTCTTTCACTCAAGGCTGGTGCTCTACCACTTGAGCCACAGCGCCACTTCTGGTTTTCTGTTGGTTCATGGGAGATCAGAGTCTCACGGACTTTCCTGCCCGGGCTGGCTTTGAACCGGCGATCCTCAGACCTCAGCTTTCTGGGGTAGCTGGGGACAGGCGTGAGCCACCAGAGCCCAGCTCCACCATTAGCTTATCTTTCACCCAAGGCTGGCGCGCCAGGCTTGAGACACAGCTCCACTTCTGGCTATTGTATTTTTGGTTGTTGTTGCTGGTTTAGTGGACTTGGGGTCTGGTTGTTGGTGGTGAAGTGGAGTTGGGGTCTGGCTGTTTTTGGTTAAGTGGATTTGAGGGTCTGGTTGTTGTTGGTTAATTGGATATGGGGGTCTGGTTGTTGGTTAGGTGGACTTGGGGGTCTGGCTGGTGGTGGTTAGGTGGGGTTGGGGTGTGGTTGGTGGTGGTTAGGTGTGGTTGGGGTGTGGTTGGTGGTGGTTAGGTGGGGTTGGGTGTGGTTGGTGGTGTTTAGGTGGGGTTGGGGTGTGGTTGGTGGTTGGTGGTGGTTGGTGGTTGGTTGGTGGGTGGTTGGTGGTGGTTGGTGGTTGGTTGGTGGTGGTTGGTGGTTGGTGGTGGTTGGTTGGTGGTGGTTGGTGGTGGTTGGTGGTTGGTGGTTGGTTGGTGGTTAGGTGTAGTTGGTGGTGGTTGGGGTGTAGTTGGTGGTTGGTGGTTGGTGGTTAGGTGTGGTTGGTGGTGGTTGGTAGTGGTTGGTGGTTGGTGGTTAGGTGTGGTTGGTGGGTGGTTGGTGGTGGTTGGTGGTTGGTGGTTGGTGGTTGGTGGTGGTTGGTGGTGGTTGGTGGTTGGTTGGTGGTTGGTGGTGGTTGGTTGGTTGGTGGTGGTTGGTGGTTGGTTGGTGGTTGGTGGTGGTTGGTTGGTTGGTGGTGGTTGGTTGGTGGTTGGTGGTTGGTGGTTGGTGATTGGTTGGTGGTTGGTGGTGGTTGGTGGTTGGTGGTGGTTGGTGGTTGGTTGGTGGTTGGTGGTGGTTGGTGGTTGGTGGTGGTTGGTGGTGGTTGGTGGTTGGTGGTGGTTGGTGGTTGGTTGGTGGTTGGTGTTTGGTGGTGGTTGGTGGTTGGTGGGTGGTTGGTGGTTGGTTGGTGGTTGGTGGTGGTTGGTGGTGGTTGGTGGTTGGTGGTGGTTGGTGGTGGTTGGTGGTTGGTGGTTGGTTGGTGGTTGGTGGTGGTTGGTGGTGGTTGGTGGTTGGTGGTGGTTGGTGGTGGTTGGTGGTTGGTGGTGGTTGGTGGTTGGTGGTGGTTGGTGGTTGGTTGGTGGTTGGTGGTTGGTGGTGGTTGGTTGGTGGTTGGTGGTGGTTGGTGGTTGGTGGTGGTTGGTGGGTGGTTGATGGTGGTTGGTGGGTGGTTGGTGGTGGTTGGTGGGTGGTTGGTGGGTGGTTGGTGGTTGGTGGTGGTTGGTGGTTGGTGGTGGTTGGTGGTTGGTGGTGGTTGGTGGTTGGTTGGTGGTGGTTGGTGGTTGGTTGGTGGTTGGTGATGGTTGGTGGTTGGTGGTGGTTGGTGGTGGTTGGTGGTGGTTGGTTGGTGGTTGGTGGTGGTTGGTGGTTGGTGGTGGTTGGTGGTGGTTGGTGGTTGGTGGTTGGTGGTGGTTGGTGGTTGGTGGTGGTTGGTGGTTGGTGGTTGGTGGTGGTTGGTGGTTGGTGGTGGTTGGTGGTTGGTGGTGGTTGGTGGTTGGTTGGTGGTTGGTGGTGGTTGGTGGTGGTTGGTGGTTGGTTGGTAGTTGGTGGTGGTTGGTGGTTGGTGGTGGTGTGGTGGTGGTTGGTGGTGGTTGGTTGGTGATTGGTGGTGGTTGGTGGTGGTTGGTGGTGGTTGGTGGTTGGTGGTTGGTGGTGGTTGGTGGTGGTTGGTGGTTGGTTGGTAGTTGGTGGTGGGTGGTTGGTGGTGGTTGGTGGTGGTTGGTGGTGGTTGGTGGTTGGTGGTTGGTGGTTGGTGGTTGGTGGTGGTTGGTGGTTGGTGGTGGTGGTTGGTGGTGGTTGGTGGTTGGTGGTGGTGGTGGTTGGTGGTGGTTGGTGGTGGTTGGTGGTGGGTGGTGGTTGGTGGTGGTTGGTGGTTGGTGGTGGTTGGTTGGTGGTGGTTGGTGGTTGGTGGTGGTTGGTGGTGGTTGGTGGTTGGTGGTGGTTGGTGGTTGGTTGGTGGTTGGTGGTTGGTGGTTGGTGGTTGGTGGTTGGTGGTGGTTGGTGGTGGTTGGTGGTTGGTGGTTGGTGGTTGGTGGTTGGTTGGTGGTGGTTGGTTGGTGGTGGTTGGTGGTGGTTGGTGGTTGGTGGTGGTTGGTGGTGGGTGGTGGTGGTTGGTGGTTGGTGGTGGTTGGTGGTGGTTGGTGGTTGGTGGTGGTGGTGGTTGGTGGTTGGTGGTGGGTGGTGGTTGGTGGTGGTGGTGGTGGTTGGTGGTTGGTGGTGGTTGGTTGGTGGTTGGTGGTGGTTGGTGGTTGGTGGTGGTTGGTGGTTGGTGGTGGTTGGTTGGTGGTGGTGGTTGGTGGTGGTTGGTGGTTGGTGGGTGGTTGGTGGGTGGTGGTTGGTGGTGGTTGGTGGTGGTTGGTGGTGGTTGGTGGTTGGTTGATGGTTGGTTGGTGGTGGTGGTTGGTGGTTGGTGGTGGTTGGTTGGTGGTGGTTGGTGGTGGTTGGTGGTGGTTGGTGGTTGGTGGGTGGTTGGTGGGTGGTGGTTGGTGGTGGTTGGTGGTGGTTGGTGGTTGGTGGTGGTTGGTGGTTGGTGGTTGGTGGTGGTTGGTGGTGGTTGGTGGTTGGTGGGTGGTTGGTGGGTGGTGGTTGGTGGTGGTTGGTGGTGGTTGGTGGTGGTTGGTGGTTGGTTGATGGTTGGTTGGTGGTGGTGGTTGGTGGTTGGTGGTGGTTGGTGGTTGGTGGTTGGTGGTGGTTGGTGGTGGTTGGTGGTTGGTGGTTGGTGGTTGGTGGTGGTTGGTGGTTGGTGGTGGTTGGTTGGTGGTGGTTGGTGGTTGGTGGTGGTTGGTGGTTGGTGGTGGTTGGTGGTTGGTTGGTGGTGGTTGGTGGTGGGTGGTGGTTGGTGGTGGTTGGTGGTGGTTGGTGGTGGTTGGTGGTTGGTGGTGGTTGGTGGTTGGTGGTTGGTTGGTGGTGGGTGGTGGTTGGTGGTGGTTGGTGGTTGGTGGTTGGTGGTGGTTGGTGGTTGGTGGTTGGTGGTGGTTGGTGGTTGGTGGTTGGTTGGTGGTGGGTGGTGGTTGGTGGTGGTTGGTGGTTGGTGGTTGGTGGTGGTTGGTGGTGGTTGGTGGTGGTTGGTGGTGGTTGGTTGGTGGTGGTTGGTGGTTGGTTGGTGGTTAGGTGTGGTTGGTGTCTGGTTGGTGGTTGGGGTCCCGGGTGGGGGCGGGCTCCCGGCTCCGCGCATGCGCGGCTGCTCACGCTGTCGGGGTGCCGCAGCCCCCCCCCCCCCGCCCCGCGGCGCCATGCTGGCCCGGAAGAGCATCATCCCGGAGGAGTTCGTGCTGGCGCGGATCGCGGCCGAGAACCTGCGGCGGCCGCGCGTGCGGGACCGGGCGGCGCGCGCGCGCTTCCTGGCCAAGAGCGGCGCCTGCAACCTGGCGCACAAGAACATCCGCGAGCAGGGCCGCTTCCTGCAGGACATCTTCACCACGCTGGTGGACCTCAAGTGGCGCCACACGCTCGTCATCTTCACCATGGCCTTCCTCTGCAGCTGGCTGCTCTTCGCGCTCGTCTGGTGGCTCGTGGCCTTCGCGCACGGCGACCTGCACGCCTACATGGACGCCGCGGCCGCCGCGGCCCCGCCCCCGGTGTGCGTCACCAACGTGCGGTGAGTGGGCGGGGCCGGGGCGGGGCCGGGGGCGGGGCCGGGGCGGGGCGGGGCCACCTGCACGCCTACATGGACGCCGCGGCCGCCGCGGCCCCGCCCCCGGTGTGCGTCACCAACGTGCGGTGAGTGGGCGGGGCCGGGGCGGGGCCGGGGCGGGGCCGGGGCGGGGCGGGGCCACCTGCACGCCTACATCCACGCCGCGGCCGCCGCGGCCCCGCCCCCGGTGTGCGTCACCAACGTGTGGTGAGTGGGCGGGGCCGGGGCGGGGGCGGAGCCTGGAGGGCCTGTGCAGGGCCGGGGGCGGGGCCGGGGCGGGGCCGGGGCGGAGCCGGGAGGGCCTGTGCAGGGCCGGGGGCGGGGCCGGGGCGGGGCCGGGGGCGGGGCCGGGGGCGGAGCTGGGGAGGGGCCGGGAGGGCCTGTGCAGGGCCGGGGGCGGGGCCGGGGCGGAGCCGGGAGGGCCTGTGCAGGGCCGGGGGCGGGGCTGGGGTGGGGCCGGGGCGGGGCCGGGAGGGCCTGTGCAGGGCCGGGGGCGGGGCCGGGGCGGGGCCGGGGCGGGGCCGGGAGGGCCTGTGCAGGGCCGGGGGCGGGGCTGGGGTGGGGCCGGGGCGGGGCCGGGTGGGCCTGTGCAGGGCCGGGGGCGGGGCCGGGGCGGAGCCGGGAGGGCCTGTGCAGGGCCGGGGGCGGGGCTGGGGTGGGGCGGGGCGAGGGCGGGGCGGGGCTGGGAATGGAGGGATGGGTGGATTGTTGGAAAGATGAATGGATAGATAGATTCATTGATTGATAGATACATGGATGGATAGGTAAATAGATACATGGATGGATGGATGGATAGATACATAAATAGATACATAGTTAGACAGATGGATGGATGGATGAATTGGTAGGTAGGTACGTGGATGGATGGATGGATGGATGGAAGGATGAATAGATAGATAGCTAGATGGATGGACAGATGGAGAAATGAATGGATAGATGGATGGATGGATGAATAGATAGGTACATAGATGGATGGATGGAAGGATGGATGGAAACATGGATGGATGGATGGATGGATGGATACATAGATGGATTGATGGGTAGATAGATAGCTAGATGGATGGATAGATACATACATAGATGGATAAATGGATAGATGGATGGTTGGATGGATGGATAGGTAGGTAGATGATAGATGGTAGATGAATAGATGGATGGACAGATAATATATAAATGGATGAATATAGATAAATGATGGATGATGGATGGATAGGTAGGTGGTAGATGATAGATGATAGATGGATGGATAAGTAGGTGGATGGATAGATAGATACCCATACATGCTTATGGACCTACATACAAAGATGGATAGATTATGAATGGATGAATGGATAGATAGATGATAAATAGATGAATATAGATAGTTGATGGATGGATCAATGGATGTACAGATAGGTGGATGGATAAATAGGTAGGTAGGTAGATGATAGGTCGATGGCTAGGTGGCTAGATAGATAGGTGAACTGGTAGATTCGATGAGATATAGATACATCAATGGATAAATGATAGCTGAAGTGTTTTGGTGATAGATGATTGATTAGATGATGGATAGATGGATGGATAGGTAGGTGGATGGATAGATAGATACACATAAATGCTTATGGACCTACATACAAAGATGGATAGATTATGAATGGATAGATGGATGATAAATAGGTGAATATAGATAGTTGATGGATGGATGGATCAATGGATGTACAGATAGGTGGATGGATAAGTAGGTAGGTAGATAGATGATAGGTCGATGGCTAGGTGGCTAGATAGATAGGTGAACTGGTAGATTCGATGAGATATAGATACATCGATGGATAAATGATAGCTGAAGTGTTTTGATGATAGATGATCGATTAGATGGTGGATCGATGGATGGATTAGTGGATAGATGATGGATCGATGGATGGATAGAGCTGGATGATAGATTGATTAGCTGATGGAGAGATGAGAGACTGACGGATTGATTGGATGAGAGATGGATGGACAGGCAGCATGAATGGATCCAACGAGAGGTGGATGGTGCGCAGCATGCATAGACCAGATGACAGAAAGGCGGGTGGTAGAGGGATAGAGGTTAAATGACTGACAGGAGACACATTCATAGCTTGATAGACGACCGCAGATATATGCTAGATGGACGGATAATAGATACACGGATGGTGGCTTCTGAACGCATGGATAAGTAGGTGGATGGACAGATATAGATATTTAAATGCCTTTTCTCTTATTCTCTCATTTTGTGGATGGGGAAATAAATGTTTGGTTCTAGAACATTCAGGAATAAGCAAAATCAAGGAGGGAATAAAACGTATTAAACATATTTTTAAAAAACTCCTTATAAATGCCACTTGATAGAGAATATTCTCTGACACGGAGGTGGCAGTCCTTGGGGAAGACCTTCAAAACAGCAAATACCAGTTGTTTAAAACGTGTCTGAGCTCAAAGGATCCCTGACTCCAAAAGCACACCTTTGGGGCTGGAGACGTGGCTCAGGCGGTGGAGCGCCATCGAATGAGCAAAAGTGTCCGAGACCGAGTTCAAGTCTCAGACCAAAAAAAAAAGGCATACATTTAATTTTCAGTATGCAATCAAGTAAAAGGATCGTGTATGGACCATTTTCGTGGTGTTTTTCAGAAATAGCATTTGAGGGGGGAGAAAGGAGAACCTTAAAAATAGGCTTAAAAAGAAAATAAATAACTATAGCAAGATTGTCTTAACACAGCAGGTCGGTTGCAATGGATTTAGAAATTAGAAGTTGGCCTAAAGGTACAGAAAACACTAGAGTTCTTTAGTGTTGCTGGTTAATTGTGAAAGGGGTTCACACGGGATATTTCAACTGGTCAGATTAATCTCAGCCTTTCCTTTCCCCTCCCTCCTTCCTCCTCTTCCTCCCTTCCTCCCTCCCTTCCTTCTTTCCCTTCCTTCCCTCCCTCCTTCCCTCCTCTCTCTTTCTCTCTCTCTCTCTCTTTCTCCCTGTGCCAGTCCTGGGGCTTGAACTCCTGGCCTGGGCGCTGTCCCTCAGGTCTTTTTGCTCAAGGTTGGCGCTCTACTACTTGAGCCACAGCTCCACTTGTGGCTTTTTTCACAGTTCATTCAAGTTAAGAGTTTCAGCTGGGTGCTGGTGGCTCATGTTGAGTAGCTGTCATCCCAGCTCCTCAGGAGGCTGAAATCTGAGGAAGGTGGTTCAGAGCCAGCCTGGGCAGGAAAGTCTGTGAGACTCTCACCTCCAATAAACTACCAGAAAACCAGAAGTGGAGCTGTGGCTCAAGGTGGTAGAGAGCTAGATTATAGCTAGCTCAGAGACAGCACCCAGCCTCTGAATTCAAACTTGAGGACACACAGACACAGACACACACACACACACACACACACACACACACACACACGCACAATGACTAGTATTTTGGAATGATACATTTTATACCAATGTCAGGCACTGTGATTTGTCTAGATAAGGTACACACCAAATGTTGGCTGGTGATTACGATTTTGACAATTATATATAACGGAAAGTTCGGTCATTGAGCAATACTTTCCATGTGACTCAAGCCTCTTAAACGCCAACAGTTAATGCACTAAATAATAAACAGCTCCCGGGAAGAATATCCTACAAAGTCGGCTAAGCCTTTGAGAATGTAATGTACTTCACAAAATACACCTATAAATGTAACGTGATGGTTCCTCCTGACATTTATTATGCTAATGCATTCACATACTGCATGAGTAAACAGCATTAATAAAATGTTACCCTGGGAATATATTGCAAGGAGGGAGGGGAGGGAGAGAGAGAGGATTGATACATAGATGATAGGTTAAGAGACTGAAATAAATGGTAGCTACATAGATGAGAGATACAGAGGGAAAGTAGCTGGCTGGATAGATAGACAGACAGACAGACAGACAGACAGACAGACAGACAGACAGATAGATAGATAGATAGATAGATAGATAGATAGATAGATGCATAGATAGATAGATGCATAGATAGATAGATAGATGCATAGATAGATAGATAGTAACTGTGTTTGTCCTTAAAATAATGCATTTGATATTTTGGCTAGTCTCTCCAAGAACATTTAATAGCCCTTTGAAGGTTCAGCTTGGGGTGTGATTTTGAAGCCAGAGTTTGTGACCCCAGGTCCAAACTCCAGCGAGTTTCCACGTGTCAGGTCCAGCTACTCATCCAACATGGCGGCCACACAGCCAACATGGCGGCCACTGGTCCCACATGCCCAGGAAAGAATCAGCCCAAAGAGGCCTGGGCAGGTGGCTCAGTGGTAGAGCTCTCGCCTAGCATGCATGAAGCCCCGGGTTCTATTCCTCAGGACCACAGACCCAGAAAAGGCCAGAAGTGGCGCTGTGCCTCAAGTGGAATAGAGTGCTAGCCTTGAGCCAATGAAGCTCAGGGACAGCGCCCAGGCCCTGAGTTCAAGTCCCAGGACTGGCACCAATGAAAACTAGCAGCAGAAGGACAGCAACCAGCTTTTCTGTAGTTAAACATCTGGGTCCCGGGAAGACCCGGGTTGGCGCTTGTCCAGCCAAAGCAGTGGGTGATTCCATCCTGGACAACGCAGATCCTCCCAACCATGATCCATTTGCTTTCTCGGGCAGGTCCTTCGCCTCCGCCTTCCTCTTCTCCATCGAGGTGCAGGTGACCATCGGCTTCGGAGGCCGGATGATGACGGAGGAGTGCCCGCTGGCCATCACGGTGCTCATACTGCAGAACATCGTGGGCCTGATCATCAACGCCGTGATGCTGGGCTGCATCTTCATGAAGACGGCCCAGGCCCACCGCCGGGCCGAGACGCTCATCTTCAGCCGCCACGCCGTCATCGCCGTGAGGAACGGCCGTCTGTGCTTCATGTTCCGCGTGGGGGACCTGAGGAAGAGCATGATCATCAGCGCCTCGGTGAGGATCCAGGTGGTCAGGAAGACCACCACCCCCGAGGGCGAGGTTGTGCCCATCCACCAGGTGGACATCCCCGTGGACAACCCCATCGAGAGCAACAACATCTTCCTGGTGGCCCCGCTGATCATCTGCCACGTGATCGACAAGCGCAGCCCCCTGTATGACATCTCGGCCAACGACCTGGCCACCCAGGACCTGGAGGTCATCGTCATCCTGGAGGGGGTGGTGGAGACTACAGGCATCACCACCCAAGCCCGGACCTCGTACGTGGCCGAGGAGATCCAGTGGGGCCACCGCTTCGTGTCCATCGTCACCGAGGAGGAGGGCGTGTACTCGGTGGATTACTCCAAGTTTGGCAACACGGTGAAGGTGGCCGCTCCCCGCTGCAGCGCCCGGGAACTGGACGAGAAGCCGTCCATCCTCATCCAGGCCTTGCAGAAGAGCGAGCTGTCCCACCAGAACTCGCTGCGCAAGCGCAACTCCATGCGCAGGAACAACTCCATGAGGAGGACCAACAGCTCTCTGCGCAAGAGCAACGCAGCCCTGCTGGTCCCCAAGGTCCAATTCGTGACCCCCGAGGGCAGCCAAGGCCCAACTGAATCCTGACCGCAAGATATCCAACTTGGATGGGAGTTTGGATGTGAGGGAGGAGGAGGAGGAAGAGGAAGAGGAGGAGGAGGAGGAGAGGAGCAGAGGAGGAGGAGGAGGAGGAGGAGGAGGAAGAGGAGGAGGAGGAGGAGGAGGAGGAGGAGGAAGAGGAGGAGGAGAAGGAGGAGGAGGAGGCCAGTATCTTTAACTGATCTAGAAGCCAGCCCAGAGTCGTTTTTCTCTCCCCCTCCACCCCTTTTTCCGTGAATAACTCCAACCAAGTTATTCAAGACTCCAGAAACCACACTCTTCCACATGCAGAAAAACCACTCTGTGGTGGCCAGCGTGCTGAATGGCCCACACCTGTCATCTGAGCACTGAGATCCGGAGGATCGTGGTTCCAAAGACGGTCTCTGGGGCAGACCCCAGCGAGAGAGGAGATTCGTTATCTCCCCTAGATTAAGCAGCACAAATGCGGTGACTCAAATGGTGGAGCTCCAGCCTTGAGGGGGAAAAAAACCAAACACCAAAAAGCCATGGAGGAGCAGGAGGCCCTGAGTTCAAGCCCCAGTACCCGCACTGAACACATCAGAAGAACACAGGACACGGAGATTGCGGCGGCCTTTGTTTGTCTCACCTTTGGGTTAAAATCACGTCCCGCCAGTGGCAGGTGCTTATTATTATTTTCTTTTCTCAACTTCCAACACAAGGACGCCATTTTTTATTTTTACCAAACTCTCACCTAAGAATGTAAAAAGGCTTCGTGGATAGAAACAACCGCAGATCTCTCCTTGCTTCTTTGGCTCACTTTGAAGGGGCAAATCGAATAGAAATGAAGGGCGCCGGTGGCTCCCGCCTGTCATCCCAGCTGCTCAGGAGGCTGAGATCTGAGGATCGCGGTTCGAAGCCAGCCCGGGGAAGGAAAATCCGTGGGACTCTGATCTCCAATGAACCCACCCAAGAAAAGTCAGAAATGGAGCTATGGCTCAAGTGGTAGAACGCCAGCCCTGAGCACAAAATCTTAGAGGACGGTGCTCAGGCTCTGAGTTCAAGTCCCAGGACTGGCACAAATGAAAACGTTCTAGATCTTGTTCAACACCTTTTGTGTGCATGAAAATAGCTTCCTGAGAAACTGCTCCTTTCATGAGATGTTTCTTGGGCCAAGAAACAGGTGGTTAAGAAGTGAAAGGCCGTCGCCCGCCTTTCTCCAGGTAAATTCACGTCAGACACCTGACCTTTTGCCATGACACCCGGTATTCCCGTTCTTCCTGCCTGGGCCTGACGGGAGAGAACCTCACAGAAACGCTCTGTATTGAATATTCTCATTAAACCCTTTTCTTGATGACTCACTGCGGTTCCGTGGTTCTTCCCACAGCAACTCGTCTCTAACCAAAACTCAAGAAAAGATGCGCGGCACTCGCCTGTCATCCCAGCTGCTCAGGAGGGCTGACGTCTGAGGATCGAGGTTCAAAGCCAGCCCGGGCAGACAAATCTGTGCGCCTCTTGTGTCCAGCACAAAGGCAAGGAGTGGAGGCGTGGCTCAAGTGGTGGAGCGCCAGCCTTGAGTGAGAAAGCCAAGCGGGAAAGGGAGGTCCTGAGTTCAAGTCCCAGCACCAGGGCATGCACGCGTGCGCGCGCACACACACACACACACCTGAAACATTTCTGTAAGGGTTGCTGAGAGAAATCTTTCTCCCCTCTCCTCCTCCTCCTCTTCCCCCTCCCTCCCTCCCTCCCTGCCTCCCTCCCTTCCTCTCTTCCTCCCTTCCTCCCTTCCTTCCTTCCTCCCTTCCTTCCTTCCTTCTTTCCTTCCTTCCTTCCTTCCTTCCTTCTTTCTTTCTTTTTTCATCTCTTTCTTGTCCTGGACTTGAACTCAGGGTCTGGGCGCTGTCCCTGAGCTCTTTCACTCAAGGCTGGTGCTCTACCACTTGAGCCACAGCACCACTTCTGGTTTTCTGAGTGGTTCATGGGAAATAAGAGTCTCATGGATTTTCCTGCCCGGGCTGGCTTTGAACCGCCATCCCCAGATCTCAGCCTCCTGAGTATCCAGCATAGCAGGCGTGCACCACTGGCCGGAAATCATTCCTATTAAGACTCGGCCCAGTTGCAGGGGCAGCTACGACAGTTTGGAACACCTCTCCATCTTCCCCCACCCTGGGCCAGATCTGGAAGGTTCCTCCATTGGTGGTGACAGGAAGGCGTGCAGGGCTGTGTTCTGCACGGTAGCAGGTGGCAATCATGAAAGGTAGGAGATGCTGGACAGGGCCCGTGGGACTCGGGATGGCGGAGTCCCGGGATCACAGGTGTAATGGGGTCCGTGCGGGACCCTCGCTGTTTTCCCCACAGCCACCAGCCAGCTGAAACCAAACCATCACTTTCACGGCGAAGTCGAAGGAAGGGTTTGGGGGTTCGCTCGATTAGCAGGATATCCGGTTGGAGTCCTTGAGTCCTGTGTCTCCCCAAGAGAACTGCAAGCAATAGCAATGTTTATTCAGAAAAGTAGGGCTCCATGGCTCCCACCTATAATCCTAGTTACTCGGGAGGCTGAGACCTGAGGATCATGGTTCAAAGCCAGCCCAGGCAGCCAAGCCCCAGTGACCCAACCCCCCCCCCCAAAAAAAAAGGCAGGAAGTAGATGGAGCTGTGGTTCAGGTGGTAAAGTGCTAGCTTTGAGTGGAAAAAGTGCCCGGGTCCTGGGTTCAAATCCCAGCACGGATATAAAATGAAGATAGTAATAGACTAAAATAATAGAAGAGCTGGGTATAGAAGCAAGCCACACTCCAGCCGCAGCAGGGCAGGGGCGCCCGGGACCCAGGGACCGATGAAGGAGACAGAAGGCTGAAGGCTCAGCTCTGTTGATTCCAGCAAGAGCCTCAGCTACGGACACTTTCCAGATCTGTCCAACGCTCGCATCTCCGGGTTCGAGGACCCCCCGTGCCAACACATGCAGACAGCACACAATCTTCCTCATCCTATATCCAACAGTCTTGGTCTACCGGACTCCCCCGGATACGCCCCAGGCCCAGAAGCTGAGAGGAACGCTTCCTCAAATGCAAGCGCAAGTACGTGCAGCTCTGAGGTTTGGAGCCAATACCCAGGAGGCTTTGCTCACACCGGGCCAGCTCCCAGCACCTTAGGGTCTGCGACGGAGCCATAGAGCATAGAGAGATACATAGATAAATCACAGACACATAATAGATGTGTAGATAGATAGGCATACAGATCCATAGATACACAGATCCGAGATACATAGATGCATAGATACATTATAGAGAGATAAACAGGTGGATGCATACATAGATCATAGATAGGTAGATCATATACACAATAGATTTACATATGTAGATGGATACATGTATATTTAAATAGGTAGATACACAGATACATACATATAGATGCATGCATGCATAGATCATAGATAAATCATAGATAGATGCACAGATAGATACAAAATAGGCAGATACATACATGCATAGATCATAGATAAATCAGATAGATACATATAGATCATAGACAAATCATACATACATAGATATATACATAAATGGATATATATTTATATAGATAGATCCATAAATAGATAGGGACAAACATAGGTATATAGATACATATAGATATACATATGGCTATATACAGATACATACACAGATGATACATAGATAAATAGCCCATAGATAACTCATAAATGTGTAGATACATGGATGGATACATCGCTAGATCATGGATAAATAAATCATAGATATATAGATATACTTACATAGATGGACACACACACATACACATACAAATGTGTTTCAGATTTCAGAATCTCAGGGGCTTGAGAAAATGACCTTATTTCCCCCAAGAAGTCTTCCCTGGATAAAGAGCTTTCCATTTTGGGGGGGGATCCAAAACCCATCCTAGATAGCAAAGGGAGAATGACCAAGAAGTTACCTCCATTTCCTGACACCCCCCCACCCTTCCATCCCCCCGCCCCCAACCTGGGATATTTCCCGGATGTGGAAGGTGGAGAAGCACTTGCAATGGTGTCTCTAGGGACGAGGGGCGGGGTGGGGGGGATTGGCGTGAGCCCCACAGATCTCCAGTCCGTGGATGATGACAGCTCAGGTCACCAAGTTCCCAGGATCTCGGCCGCAATCCTCCCCGTGGCGCCGGTGGGAACTTCCTTACCGACTCCCATCCAGCCCCTTGGTAATTCACCACTCCCAAGTTCAAGTTCAAGTTCACAGACGCTACATCCGCCTCACACGGGCCTTTCCAAGAGCCACAGCCCGCCAGAGCGCCAGGACATGGCTGGGTAGCTTCGCCTCCATTAGCACTTGCTTGCTTCCTTCCTTCCTTCCTTTCTTCCCTCTCTCTGTCTCTCTCTCTGTCTCTTTCTCTCTGTCTGTCTGTCTCTGTCTCTGTCTCTGTCTGTCTGTCTCTGTCTGTCTGTCTCTGTCTCTGTCTCTCTGTTTCTGTCTGTCTCTCTGTCTCTGTCTGTCTGTCTCTCTCTGTCTCTCTGTCTCTGTCTCTCTGTCTCTGTCTCTGTCTCTCTCTGTCTCTGTCTCTCTCTGTCTGTCTGTCTCTCTCTCTCTCTCTCTCTTTGTTCCAAGAGGTGCCTTCCTTCTCAGGGAGCACAAATAAATGGGATCAGTGGCTCCATTCCAGAACTCTCTCTGGGGGTAATTGAAATGTAAGCCTGGCATCCCACGGGATTTCTTTGAATCCCTTGAAGAAGCACAGAGCATAATAAAAGGCTGGATGTTCACACGGCTGCTGGGTGGATTGTTCAGTGAGAAAACACATGAAAAAGGGAAGAAAACAATTATCTGTAAAACCGAATGGACCATTAAAAATAGAGACAAAAACGAATTATCTGTAAAAGCCAAACTGACATCAGGAGTCAGCCACGGGACTCGCTTCTCTGAAACGGTTCAGTGTCACGGAGTCAAAAGGCTGCCATTAATTGCCATTGATTATTGGGGAAAACTGTGTGTGTGTGTGTGTGTGTGTGTGTGTGTGTGTGTGTGTGTGTGATGATCCCAGGGCTTGAACTCAGGGCCTGGGCG